TTCAATCTCATATGCCAACCAGTCCGGTTCTGAAGGCGAGTTGGGGCTATTGTTTCCGTGGTAAAGGAGCACGCCGGCTGGGACGGTTGCTGGGAAGAAAGACATGCCATTGTGATGAAGCGAAGAGCCCCACTGGCGCATGGAATCATGCACTGCATTGAAGATCTGGGGTCCCCGACGCCGCGCAAACTCTTCGCTGGGTCGCAATTCCACAGGGTCGCATTGTGCTAGCGTGGATAGCGAAAGCAGGAGAAATATTAAATCAGGATTCAACTTCATTTCGGCAAATGTCCAGCGTCGTAGCTGGAAGGGAAATGTCGTGCTCGTCCGTGTCCAAGTCGTCGCGGTTCGAGGAAACGGGTTCACGGTCACATCGACAACACAAACGGCGGTGTCGATGGTTTTATTGAACATGGACTGACTCGGCCTGGGTTCGGATTAGGCTTGGCGGAGCCCCGAAGACGCGTGTTCAAAATACCGGAGACCGATGCGCAGGTTTCCGGGTCTCAAAGAGCTCGCCATTAATTGACACTAACCAATTATGGACGAGAACAACTCGATGCTTACGACGACGGGGTTCAAAGTGCTTGACAGCCCTGCTCTGATTCGCTCAAACCTGGAAACTGTTGTATGTGGGCGCATCAACCGGAACATCGGCAGATTGATAAGATAAGATTCTGTCAAATGATGCTGGTGTCTCAATCCGACAACCGGGGATAATGGCTGTTCAAGAGGCACAACACGTCATAAGTTGTGACGTTAGTGGTCGTTGCTTGCCATCTGGCTCAGGAATTGTCTTCTTTGAAAATTCTACCGTGCATAAATAAGACAATGACTGGCCCTTCACAACCGAGTAGGCAGTGCAATCAACCACCGCACTGCCACCAACAGATTTACTGGCAACAGGGGTTGAGGAGTAACAGATGACGACGCGGCAGGCTGAGAACACGCATGCAATCTACAACAGCATACAAGCTGATTTACGGAGTCAATTAGAAGAAAGTGGCTGTACCAATTAGAAATCTGATGAGCAGCTAACTGCGGACAAAATCCTTCATCCCTAAACTCTGCCTCTCTCCAAGAACTTATTCGGAATATCCACATGTCTCGACCGGATATACTCGCACAAGTTCTTACCTAAACTGTCGAAGCTACTCGTGGAGTTGAATCCTCGGTCAAGGTGATCCTTCAAGAGGAAATGCACCGCCCGAATGTTCGGGAACTCGCAGCGGTCAATTTGCCGTCCCTTGTCATCCTTGCCTAGCAACTCTCTCAGTTTAGCAGTGCTCAGCAACGAACGCAGCCAATCCCACTCGTCATCGTGGCGAACGAAGAGTCCAAGATTGGCATTAGAGCTCTTGTCTCCGGAGCGGCCGAGTACTACCCAGCCAAGAGGACCTCGTGTGGTCTCCCCGAACTCTTTCAGATCAGCAGCATTCGCCGTGTCATAGCTCGGCTGCTCCCGCTCATACTCTCTCACGTTCGTCGGCGCGGGAATGTCTACCACCGTCCCGTCTGGCAAATGAGCAGTCTCATGAACGAATGTCTGTGGCAGCAAGCTGACCCAGTACTCGAAGAACGGTCTTCCAATGGCGGTCCTCATGTCTGGGGCCATTGTACTTCCGGGGTAGCCCTGGAGCAAGTTCTCGATGCAGAATCGTGCAAACGAGCCACGATCAGAGTCAACAAAGTTATTCCCCGAGAGGAGGTCTGGATCCCGCGTCTGGGCGAAGATGCGCATGTCGACGGTGGCTTCTTCCTGGGACTGGGGGTCTGAAGGCACGGCCCCAGCCAACATGAAGCGAAGACACGAAAACTTGTTGATATGATCGCCCATCAGGGCCTTTGTCTGACGTTCGACCATGGCGGCTTTCTCTTCGATGTCGAGACCGGTGAGATAGAAATGGAACTCAGCTTGCCACCCGCCCTTGGCAGTGATGCCAACTGTTTTGTTATTAGATGTGATACGACTTGTCATCAGCGTGAAAGACATACCTTTGGTAGTTGAGGGGGGCGGAAGACCCTTGACGCCGGAAACATGAACAGCGTTCTTGCCAATCTGCTTCAGGTGCATGTCTTCGATGGAGGCTGTCACGTCTGAGTTGTAGTAGAGTGGTCCTTGGATCTCGTAGAGGAGTTGACTGGCAATGGTGGCAGTGGTGACCAGGCCATGCTTACCCTCCTCCATCGTAACGACAGCCTCTCCTTTCTCGTCGATGGCCGCGATAGGATCTGTACCTGCGTCAGGACACTGGTCTTCGTGGACAATTTTAAGCAACTCACATCCCATATCAGTATCATTGAGACCAAGGTCCTTGAATCCCGAGTAGTATCCTCCCGTGGCATATGTGCTGCATTCAATGATGTGCCCGATCATCAAAGCGCCAGCCAGCTCGGAGAGATTATCGCGGGTCCAGCCATGCCACCACATTGCAGCCCCAACCGTGACAGAGGCATCAGCAACGCGGCCACAGAGGACGATGTCAGCGCCAGCTTTGAAGCACTCTGCGATCCCCGTTCCGCCGAGATAGCATTGAGCACAGATGGGATCGAATCCCCACTCCTGAATAGGTTTGTTGGCAGGAAGATTCAGAAATTTCTCGCCTATTTAATGGTCAGTAAAGCGCAATTGTGAGTATATGACCTGGGCAGCGAACCCAACCTTTCTTGTACAGGTCCAACACAGCGTCTGTGACATCATCGCCATCAACAACGCCGACCTTCAGCTCAACTCCATGCTTCTTGATGAGCCCCTTGACCGCCTCAGCAAGTCCATGGACATCGCTCGCCCCGGCATTGACAGCAATTTTGACCCCGCGTTTCGCCAGCCAGGGGATGGCGGGATCAAGCTCATCCAGAAAGTATGGCTCGTAGCCCTTGGCAACCACCGTGGATCCAGATGACATGGATTTTTGGGCGAGGCGGTCGCGCTTATCAGATCCGCGAAGAGTCATATTGCATTCGGACATCCAGTCGCCGGTGATCACATCGACGTCTTCATTCTTGGCCATGTCATGGATGGCACGTTTGCGGTCGTAAACGCCTGCCGGACGATAGGGTCAGCGGTTGAGATCTGTCAACGAGGAAGAATGAGACAAACCTCCAGAGCAGCCTGCGACTCTGATGGGCCGCTTCACACCATGGCCATTGCCATTCGTGTTGTTCGTGGTTGCACTCGGAGCCATTGTGCAAAATTGTGTGAGTAAGAAGCAAGCAATGCACTACAATTGAAAACCAAATCGACTTTGAAATTCGTTGTCTCGTCTGTAAAGGATTTCTACTGTTTTTTAACATTTCAATGCGTACAACAGCTTGTGAAGAGCTATGATATGAGGTTTCGCCTGCAGTTTCCTCCGTAAACTCCGTATGAAGAGCACCCGTAATTGGACCAGCATCTGAGGAAGTCATCGACAGCATTATCAAGTGGGGTTTCGAACCAGTCATTGCCTGCCACAGGTTGGCGCTAATGATTCAGTACCCGTCAAATGCAAGATGGAGGCGGACCTCCCCGCAGCTGAACCCTTTGCCGCACAGCACCCCGCTTTGCTGCCGAAGCTACCCAGCAAGCCGGATGATGAAAGGCTGCTAGCTAGGGCACCAGGAACATGGATTCCAGGACTCGCGTAAGGTAGTCATTTCGCATGAGAGGAACCTAAGGGTCCAATCATCGGAATTGTGAAATGCAGCCCACAAGTTACGAACTGTTTGTCACATCACGATCAATATCCAAGAGGCAAACTTTGATGGTCGCATCTTTAGGGGTGATATTGAGGTAGAATCTGAAGCAAACAGAATGCTCTCGTCTATATGTCTTTGTGCAGGAACCCGTCTTTCCACTTCAGAAATGTCCACGTCAAGCCGGTCCGTAAGTGCTTAGTATTCTTGATGCTCTCCGCGATTGCCGTGCTTTTGACGTGGACGTCTTTCAAATATGCCTCGCTCTCATAGACCTCAACAGTCCAGAGCTTCTCCCTATCCTCGGAATCTCTGGCCAATCCGTAGACAAGTGTTCCTTCCTCGTTCTCTCGTCCTTCATTCACAACACCCTGCCAGTATGGTATCGATGTTGCCGATCCTCCAGGATGGTAGCCCAACTCAGCAATGATAACCCAAGGGTCCTTCTCTTTGTGCTCGGACACCTTTGCGCGCGAGAATAAGAAGTCATCCGATGGAAGGGACAGAAAGTGCGTGCTCGGGGTGCCAGCAAGTGGGCTTGGGTTGGTTGCGCTCATCCACGATACTAACTTTTGGACGTGTGGAAGTGCCATGTGAGCGTCGAAGTCAGCCTTGGACGGATACTCCTCCACGACGTAGATGGTATTCTGTTTCTCTGGGTCCCGCGACAGGAAGATTGCGTATTTCGATGTACCGGATTCTTTAGTCAAGGCATGCTCTGCACCGAACGATAGTTGTCGCAATGCCTTATCCGGACATATCAGTTCTTGAAATCTGGATGGTAGAAGATATGTTCGGAGTATACGCACATCATCTCGGGTCTCTGTGCTAGACAGAGGGACAATCGCAACAATAAAGATCCTCTCACTCATAGTTGCGTCGATTCAGGGTCAGCTTTCAATGTAGAAGGTTAGGGGATCCGAATTCTGTATGCAATGTCATACAATGCTAATCTTCTGCCGGGGTGGTAGCATTCTTAAGATAGACAGTGCCTGGATGTCCCCGCGTAGCATCTCACACCTGCGTGAGTTTATCCGGGTTGGCAAGAAAGGGGTGCGGTGGAGACCGGTTGCTGCAAGGAACAAGATCGACGTACCATGGGTGCTCAAAAATGACTGGCATTTGACATATCACTCAGCTCTAGCGTTTTGACGATGATCTAAACCGAAGAGTTGTGAACCATTGAATCGAATATTCTTGAGACAAAGGTAATGGCTCCGTGAGTGTTGCTGGTACAACATACTTCTGGGTATACAGACAAGAGGCCTGGGTCCTCAACGTTGCTTAGCTACTATCCGTTGGTTGCTTCCTGCTTTGATGTGACATCAAAGTTTCGCAACGAATCTTCTTCCCTCATCTAATGAACAATCTCCATCGGTCATCTTGACCAGATCCCTCCTCAGAATCTTGCCTGTCGGATTTCTAGGAAGTCTCTCAACTGCCCATACCCCACCTCTAAGCTTCTTATACCCGCTCACCTGGTTATCAACGACCTTCTGAATATCTCTAAGTCTTCGACGAATCTCTTCTCTTCTCATCATGTCTCCGTCCTTCAATACAACCCACGCAGTTGGTACTTCGGTCAGCTGAGTCTCATCCCACAACGCCCCGACACCCGCTTCCTTGACAAGTGGATGTGAGTTGATGATCTGTTCTAGCTCCGATGGACTGACTTGAAAGCCTTTGTACTTGATCAAGTCCTTTGTACGTCCAACGATGAACAGTCTTCCTTCCGTATCGAAACGGCATACATCTCCTGTATTATACCAGCCTTCCATGCGGAAAGCTTCTTGGTTGGCTTTTGGATTAAATGCGTAGCCATGAGTGATATTGGGTCCTCTGATCCACAGCTCTCCAGGACCGCCTTCCGGTGCATCTTCAGTTGTTCCTTCCTTCTTGAGCGCCGCCTCGATACCTGGCAGTAGCCTTCCAGTCGAGCCGTCGGGGACCTCCTCGTCGAAGCCCTGGTAGGCCACATAGCCAGCGGCTTCCGTCATCCCGTACGCCTGAATGAGTTTCCATGGAGCTCGCCTGAGCAATCTTTCGATCTGCTCTGGTTTCAACGGAGCACCACCGATGTTGATGATCTGCGCTTTTGAAAAGTCAAATCGCTCCGTTACGTCCGAGTTTGCGAGGCTGAGTACCACGCTTGGCACCCCCTGGAATGAGGTCGCTTGGTTGGAGCCGACCAGTTGACCGAACTTGTCGATATTGTACTGCGGCATTGCGTGATGAAACATACCGGTGTGAGGCCCAAGAAATAGAGGCATTGTCGTCATAGCAATGTGAGCCCACGGCGTGAAGGCCACTGTCCGAGAAGAGATGTTGAACATCTGGTGCTTGTCATCAAGCGCGACGAGCTGGAGTACGTTCGAGACAAAGTTGAGATGTGTAAGCTCAACTCCTTTTGGTTTTCCGGTTGTTCCGGACGACAGGTGTATTGATGCCAGTCGCTTCGATGTGTCCGGCCAGTGAGGTATTGCGAGCCGCGACGAAGCAATGAAGTCGTCAGGAATATGCTTTACCCCGCTTGCCGGCTTGATGATCGAGAGTATTATCGGAATGTCCCATTGCACTCCTAGCGTAGACAGCTCCTTTGCAGCAACATCGACAGCGTCCTGAATCGCCGGCGTAATGGGACCATACGCAATTATGAAGTGCGGCCTTGATACCGCGAAACCATGACCGATCTCTGACGACTTGAGTGCATGATTAACCGGGCTCACAACACCTCCAGTCCATAAGATAGCATGGAAGATTTCCAGAAACTCAACGCTGTTGGGAAGTACAATCGCCCAACGAGCCTGATCCGGCGGATTCAACCCATCCTTCAGCCCCTGCGCAATTCTCCCGGCGCGGTCGCGAAGTTCTCCAAGCGTAATGCTGCGGTTCGTCAGGCTATCCGAAGCGATGATGTGAGATTCCGGTATTGATGTAGCCGTAGTATGAAGCAGCTCTGTGAGGTTCAAGTCGCGTGGTATGTCGATAGGCTGTGAAGTGTACGTCCTCATGTTCGCGGTGGTCGGTGCATCACTTTGAGTTCAGTCACAGTCGGGATCGTCGGATGAACAAGTTCGACATTGAGCAGCCTGCTGAATAACGAAGAGAGAGCGTGACTGAGAACTCGTTTTGTCTCTTCCGCAAATCTGTCGGCACGATGCGGCATGGGTTCGACGAGAAGCAGGCATTTCCAACCGCCGTCCGAATGTCGCCTGCTGAGTCGCCGTGCATCCAGCCGTCTGGCTGTCATCATCCGCGGCTCTTCTGTCAATGCGGACTCTCCTCCTAGAGAGGGAGGGGAGGGGAACGGACAGGGAACGTCTTGGCGGCAAAACGAAGCGGCAGAACGGTCGAGAATGTGTCACGTCGCCCAAGACATGCCACTACCAGCAGGAGGGGAAGCATTCGGCGTGCGGGGAGCGAAGATTCTCCGCATGAAACCACTGAATCATTAGTTTTAGTCGCATCGGGGAGCTTCCGCAGGCGAGGCATTGGATAAGAAGTTCCGGCGGTCATCCTTGTGTGTGTTTCGTTCCTTGCCGAAGGTGTAAATGTCAAGGCGGGCAGCTCGAGCGGCGGCGGCGGCGTCGGCGGCAACCTCGGCACTTGCTGGCTCGGCTTTGGTGGGCGAACAGTCTGGTGATGGCCTCGTTCTCGTAAACGATCATTGTGTTTGAAATTGCGCTCTCCACGGGCTGTTTCGTAGAGCGGAGCAGCAAGCAGCATCCTCCACACTTACCGTCTTCCTCACTGTTCACAATGGCACCCCGACGTCCCATCCGCATCGGCAACTGCTCGGGCGCCATCAACGACGGCATCGACCAGATCTATCGTCTCGCGAAGTACGGCAACGTTGACGCAATCACAGCCGACTACCTCGCCGAGTTCAACATCGCTTGGAAAGCCATCGAGCTGCAGACGCGTCCGGAGCTGGGCTTCGAGCCGAACTTTCTTGAACAGCTTGCCTGGCACGGCGGCGACGCGGCACGCCTGGTGGCCGAGAAGCGCATCAAGATCGTTCACGATGGAGGGGCGCTGAATCCTCGGGGGCTGGCCGAACGGACAGACGCGTACTTCAGGAGTCTTGGCATCGGTGATGTCAAGGTGGCCTGGGTCGGCGGCGACAACGTGACGGAGGCGGTCAAACGTGGCGCGTTCGGGCGAGTCATGCATCTCGACCAGCCCGGCGTTGAGTTTGATCCGCGGGCTGAAGGTGCCGGCGGCGAGGATGCGCTGTTGGCTGCCAATGCGTACACCGGGTACGCGGGCATCGTGAGGGCGCTGGAGGCCGGAGCGGACATCGTCGTGTGCGGCCGGTGTACGGATGCGAGTCCGGTGATGGGACTCGCGAGGTGGTGGCACGGGTGGAAGGGGACGGCGTACGACGCGCTCGCGGCGAGCCTCATGGCCGGACACCTGATCGAGTGTGGCCCGTATGTGACGGGCGGCAACTACTGCGGTCAGCGTGAGGTTCCGAACCTCCACCACGCCGGCTTCCCGATTGCGGAGATCGCGGCGGACGGCGGGGTGGTCATCACGAAGCCGGAGGGGTCTAACGGGCTTGTGTCCGTTGATACATGCAAAGCGCAGCTGCTGTATGAGATCCAGGGGCCATTCTACCTGAACCCGGATGTCACCGCCGACATTGAGGGTGCGAAATTCAGTCAAATATCAAAGGGGCGCATTCAGCTGTCCGGAATCAAAGGACTGCCACCACCCCCTACATCCAAGCTGGCCATCTGTCTGCTGGCAGGTTACCAGGCGGAGATCTCTGCTTACGCGGCTGGCCTGGATACCGACTTCAAATTCGAAGTGCTGAAGAGCCAAGTCATGGGACAGATCAACCAGTCAGACTTTACGACTTTCAGCATCGAGAAGTACGGTTCGGCAGCAACAGATCCGCGGTCACAAAGAGCAGCGACCGTGCAGTTCCGTATGTTCGCCCAGTCTCATAGAAAGGAGGCTTTCGAGCAATTTAAACGCGCCGTGTTCTACAACGGCTTGCAGGGCTACTGTGGGCTGCATCTGGGGATGGACTGGCGGACGATGGAGCCCCGGCCGTTTGTGCGGTACTTCCCCGCGTTGATACCACAATCCAAGATCCCCTTGTCCGTCAGTTTTGTCAAGGGCCCGGAGAACATCACGGTTGAAGCAAGGCAGGAGACAGAATGCGGGTCAATACCTCGTCAACATGATTACGATCCTCCAACACCATTGGCAAAGGTCTCCTCACCACAGACGTCCAAAAGGCCGCTGGGAGATTTGGTCTTCGCCCGTAGCGGGGACAAGGGCGGCAACGCGAACATTGGGTTCTGGGTACGGCACAAGTCGGCCTGGCCATGGCTTCAGGCCTTTTTGACAAAACGGAAGTTCATCGAGCTTCTTGGCGATGACTGGCAGGGCAAATACGTGGTGGAGAGGTGTGAGTTTCCAGGGCTCTGGGCGGTGCATTTTGTAGTCAAAGGGATACTTCAGGACGGTGTTAGTAGCAGCAGTGTCCTGGATGGGTTTGCAAAGAGTGTAGGCGAGTTCCTCAGGGCGAGAGTGGTTGATTTACCCCTGGATCTGGTCAATCTTGAAGACTGGCGGCGGAGATCAGCAGAGAACATGGCTGAGCAGGCCAGATTATGATTCCTTATCTGCCGAGGTGTATTCGATACAACCCCAGATGATTCCGAAGACCATGATATGATTCAATGCTACACTTCCGATGATGACCGAACATTGTTTACTCTTCGTCACGTCTTGGACCGAGGACAAACAAGCAGCTCAGCTGCGGGGAACCTCGGCCGACAAACCCCGGGAATACAGGCAAGCCGGCCACTGAAGCGCACTGCCGACAGGGAATCATCTGCAGCCGACCGTCATATTTAGCGGCCTGCTGCCCCTGTAGCCGTATCCCGCCGATATCATCCGCGTTTTCATTTCCACCTCGTCATAATACATCCCGAACTTACACGCACCCGAGCCAGATATAACCCCGTGAGAGATGGCCTCTAGTGATGTGCCCGTCAAGAACGCTTCAGGCCGTTATGACAACGTAGACTTTCGGAAAGCAGCAGGTTATCAACATCCACCCATCAAGTGCAGCTACAACCGCCGCGATGTTCTCCTCTTTGTGAGTTGCAACACATCAAATCTTGGACGTCCGAGGTGGCTGTAAATCGCCTCACTAACACGCGCCCTAGGCCAACGCGATTGGTGTCAAGAAAGACGAGCTTCACTTCCTCTATGAGCTCCACCCTCACTTCGCCGCCTTTCCCACTTTTCCCATCAACCTCGCCTTCAAGCAGACAGACCAGGATGTTTTCGACTTCATCGCGCGGACAACGTCGGGCCAGGTTCCAGGCGTTCCGCCTTTCGACGCTCAGCGTTCTGTAGACGGCGAGAGAGGTATCGAGATCATCCGGCCGATTCCGGTGTCCTCGGCAGGCTTGGACTTGGAGGTTCGGAATAAGGTAATTGGAGTGTATGACAAGGGTGAGTGAAGATGGCAAGACATATGATAGGGCCAGCGATGCTAAATCAGATGTGCAGGTGGCGCCATGATTTTGGAAGCAGAGCAGCTGCTTGTCGACAAAAACACAGAAACCGTTTACACTAAAATGACCTCCACTGCATTCGGCATCGGACAGGGAGGCTACGGCGGGCCCCGTGGACCGGCAAAACAGGCCGTTACGCCGCCAGACCGCCGGCCGGACGCCGTGCACACGATCAAGACAACCCCGGAAGCCGCCCTCCTCTACCGCCTCTGCGGCGATTATAACCCGATGCACGCCGACGAGGCGTTCGGTCAGCGTGCTGGGTTCAAGGGCTCCATCCTCCACGGCCTCGGCACGTGGAACATGGCCGCCCACGGTCTGCTGCAGAAGCTAGGCGACAGTGATCCCAACCGCTTCAAGGCTTATGGCGCAAGGTTCAAGAGCGTTGTTTATCCCGGGGACACGCTGGAGACTCGCATGTGGGTGGTCAAGACCGAAGGAGGGATGGACGATGTCGTATTTGAGACGATCGTTAAGGAGGACGGCAGAGTCGCGCTGTAAGTGTTGCCATTTCGCCCGGCCGAGTTATATCGGCGGCGTGATAAGACTGAGTGGCTGACAATTATTCCAGATCGAACGGATATGCCAAGATTGCAAATGCGAAAGTGAAGCTGTGATGCGTCTGCCGAGAGTCCGGAAATCCGGGTGGACCGGGATGTGTTGGCAGACAGCACAGCATAGACAAATTGTAATCAACATCTGATGCAGAGTTCGCGCCAAGTCTCATCTTCGTCCAAACGTGGACTAAATCGCGAAGTTTGATCTGCCCGCGTCACACGACAAATGCCATCGTGAAAAGAATCTCCCGAGTCAGAAAGTGACCAAGGACTCCTTTTGCTTGAGTCGATGAACGGTGATAAGGCCAACGGCTCATACACGTGCGGGACACCGTGGGCTCCATGAGCCGTTAAGCACAGCCCCATAAACGCGACCGTTTTGTTTCTTATAGTGGCTTCGTGACATGCGCCAAGGTCAGACGCGAGAGACATGAGGCAAAAATGCGAAAAAGAACATGCTCCTGGGGGTGAAGGTGACATTTCTTCCCACTGGCAAAAGATTGCGCCGAGGGGGAATCGAACCCCCGGCTCCCCGACGCTGCTGGATGGCAACGGAGAATTTTACCACTAAACCATCGGCGCTGTTTATTGGATGATAGACGTTGATAATTATTTTCTTATGAAGTCTAGAGCCGTAGTCTACTCCGTGAAGCCGCCCAAAATTGCGCCCTCACAGGTGCGATGGATACCATTTTGGATCTCTCTTTTCGCGATAGGCCGCAAGCCCTTCGGACGCGTTCTTACTTCTGAGCATCGCCTCCGCCCAAAGTTCCTGTCCCCGCATGGTTGCTCTACTAACGCCAGTCTCCCAAGCTTCCCTGGCTGCCAACCTCGAGATGATGACGCTGTCGGGACTCAATGCCGCGATCTCGTCGGCGTAATCCAGTGTTCTCTCGAGCAGCTTCTCTTGCG